AGACAAAGGGGCTGGGGCTAAGAGACACATGAAAGGGGCTTGGGGAAGAAATACACAAACAAAATGCATCTTCACTTGTGTCTCCTGCTCTCCCTGTAATTTAGAGTCGACCAGTGAGAGAAAGACTTCGTATTAAAGGGACACTATAGTCACCAGAACATCTAGAGTTTAATGCATTGGTTCTGGTGTCTATAGCCTGTCCCTGTAGGTTGAGCACTGTAAATGCTACCTTTTCAGAGAAAAGGTATTGTTTACATTGCTGCCTAGGAACATCTCTAGTGACAGTCACTCAGACGGCCACTAGAGCTGCTTGCTAGTCCAGTGCTGCACAGTGTGCAGCACCTATGTTGAGCATCTCCAAGCTCTGCATGGAGGCACTGAACGCTTCCCATAGAGATGCATTGATGCAATGCATCTCTATGAGGAGATGCTGATTGGTGCAGTGAAGCACAGCGTTTTACCACATATGCGCAATAGACTCCCAATGCTTTCCTATGGGAATTAAATTGGCGTTGACTGAGATCATCGAGTTGTCAGCCAAAGTGAAGAGCACACTCTTGTTACTTCAAAATAAGCATGATAACATCATTTTCTTACTGCGGTACAGTAATATACATTCACAATTTCAGTCCAATAATGAAACTTTCCTTAATATGTCAAGGTAGTTGGACTGAAACATTGATTATATGCAAATGCACGTCTGCTTACAACAAATCCACTCGTTTGTTTATTTTGAAGCCCTATGAGTGCAAACGTTCACTTTTAAGTGATAGTTTTCCATTTTTGTTTTTTTTCCTGCTTTCATACCTGCACACTATGCTGGCGCGATGCATTATGGGGCTGGTATAGAATTCCCACTCCGGCCCTGTATATGTGTGGTCATACCATAATATATCAATTCTTCTTATCTATTATTCAGAACATAACATTGAAATATTGGGGACTCATTGTTTATTACACATGTTCACCTTAACAACCCATTGTCACTTTAATAACTAACCCTATGATAGTAACGAAAAATAGAAATTAAAAATAGAGACACAAATATTTTCTCAATCATACAATTTAAATTATTGCACTTTGGTTAACAAATCAAGGTCCTGATAAAAGATATACCCGTGGTATTAATAATTTCCCTTTTTTTCTTTTTTCTCACCACCATTCTCAGTTTTGGATACCTTCTTCTGTATATGCATGTCCCATATACACTTTAATTAAGGATATAAAATATAATTAATTACTGGACTATGAAAGGTTATGTTATAATATACTATAAGATTAGGTATGTGTGTTTATATCTTATTAGACTTACTGTCTTTTATTATCATTTAGAAACATGTCAAACTCAAAGGCTAGTACGAGCCACATAAACAAGGTTTATATGGCCGCAAAAAAAAACCCCAAAAACTTACATTTTCATAGAAACGTAGGTTTGTTTTGAAAAGACCAGTATATAAAAAAAAAAAAAAAAATCAGCATCCCCCTCTACTAAACCCCAGTCTGCCCCTCTGTACTAATTCCCAACCCCCCCCCTCTATACTTAATCCCAGTTGTCGACCCACTCTATACTAAATCCCTGCCCTACCCCCTCTTCTAAACCCCAGCACCCCCCACTAATTAACCCTGGCCCTTGTTTTAAAAAAAAAAAGCAAAAAAACAAACAAACAATATTCGCCAACAAGCAGACTCCACTCACATTGCCGCTGCCTGTATGCGACTCTGGAGTCCAGCCTCTGGTATATCCCCAATGGCACCGTCCGCACCCTGTGCCAAAGCGGAACCTCCCGCTACTCCATGAAAACCTGTGAAGGTGGGAACGTTGATGTCACGTCAGAATGTGACGTGGCATTGCGTGCCTCTGTGCACCTCCAGGTCCTCCACTGTCTAGTCAAGGTCATCGCAGCACTGACCAACACACACAGGCACACACACTGACAGACACACACTAACACTCTGACAGGCAGACACACACACACACTGACAGACAGACACAATCTCTCTGACAGACACACAATCTCTGACAGGGAACTACTTATTTGTCTTGATTTTATGGCCTCTGAGGAAGTTCCAAGTGTGGAACGAAACGTGTAAGACTAATACCATTGCTGTTTTAATAGCGTTATTCTAGGTGGTTATTCATCATTTTATTCAAATAAAACCGCCTTTTTTTTTTCAAATATTTCCATCTGGGGTCCTGCTTTTCTGCTACACTCGCAGACCAAGGAGAAGGGATTCAAAGCCCCCCAATAACATCGGGGGAGGCACCCATTCAGCGCATAATACGTCTACATCTTGTGAGTGCATCCATTTACAGCGCACATTTCACTGTTTAAATTGTATTACGCTATGTTATGTGTATGTTCCTTTTAGATTTACAGCTGTATCCCATAAGGTTTTTTGCTTGTATTCAAGTAAAACCTTTTATCTGCAAGTTTATGCGAATTGAGAGTGGGGACCTTCTCCACAGTGCCAAATAAGACATATTACACCGGAAAGGTCCCCACTCTCAAAAGGGTTGTGGTAACCTTTTAAAGAATTAATGGCGATCAGATACTGTAACGCAGAGCATCTTTCAGACTCCTAATTGCATGATGTTGTTCAGATGCTTTAAAAATTTGGTCTGTGGGTGGCGAGGGAGCTGTGCACTTACTGTGAGCTCCCTGCACAGCTCCCTAGCATACTCTGTAATCTGCTAAGTATTATGTGATGTCACCCCTGCATCAGTATCACTACAAGGTGCAGGAAGAACCCAGTGTACTCAGCACAAACCAACAGACTTCAAGGGGGGAAGGGAGGGAGAGAGAGAGAATGAACGAGAATGCGGGTGTTATTGTGATTAACAGAGGCGGCTCTCTAATTAGGCGATTTAGGCGGCCGCCTAAGGCCTCGCGCAGTCAGGGGCCTTGCGGCCGCCTAAATCGCCTCAGGGCAGACTGACATGTCGGGTTCTCGGTCTATGACCGAGGACCCAACACAGGAGGGGGCCTGGCGGCTTGCCCTTTGTGCCGCCGGATGCGAGGCTTCTCCTGTCAGTCCGCCCGGGGAGAGAGCCAGCCTCAGTCTGCAGCTCCGCCGGGTGTGAGCTGCAGACTGAGGTGTCTCGCGCTCTCCAGTCAATCAGAGCGTTGCCGCGGGTTACCATGGCAACGCTCTGAATGGAGATCGCGAGACATTCCCCATGTGGTCTGCAGCTCTGCATCCGGCGGAGCTGCAGACCGGAAAGCCCACTGGACCACCAGGGAGCCATCCAGGACACTGGACCACCAGGGACAGATTGACCCCACTGGACCACCAGGGAAAAAGGTAAATTTTCACCCCGCCCTCACCCTGCCACCCCACCTGTCACCCCCCTTCAACCTGCACCCCACCTGTCACCCCCCCACCCTGCCACCTCACACTGTCACACCCTGTCAACACCCTGTCACCTCACACTGTCACCCCAACTGTCACCCCCTGTCAACACCCTGTCACCCCACCTGTCACCCCCTGTCAACACCCTGTCACCCTCCTCACCCTGCCACCTCACACTGTCACCCCATCTGTCATCCCCTGTCAACACCCTGTCACTCCCTCATCCTGTCACCCCCTCACCCTGTCAC